CCTTACTCTCCATCCTGAAGGATCTTATTGAGTGCTTGCAGCTACCAGTGGGAAGGAAAGGAAGGAAGGCGGCAGCACCGTGGAGGCAAGTATGGTGCACAGGAACTACTGGAACCTATCCCTTGTATGGCTCTTTCTGTGGCAGCTGAAAGCCAGTGGGAGAGAGAGGAAAAGAAGCCAGCTTTCAGGTACTGCAAAGAGAGCCATACAGGGATCGGATCCAGTTATTTCCCCCCCTCCCCTGCCGTGCCGAGCCCCTGATTTCTCAACAAAATAAAACATGGAGATATGGATGGTTGGGGCGGGGGGGATGTTCAGATGCAGTGCAGTTCCACTTTAAATGCTGCCGTTTTCAGTACATTTTATATCGTTGTTTTACTATTTAGGTAAGCTGCTAACACATTCACTTAAAGTGGTATTAAACCCAAAAGCAAACATTTTATTGCAGCTTACCAATTCCTAGATGTGATGGATGCATTAGTTTTCTTTTTTTATACTTTCTTTCCTTTAGTTTCACCTGGTGATGCAGCGAGTAAGTCTGTTATTTTTCAACAGAACAAGCTCACTTGCAAATGTATCAATTAGAGCATTGAGACAAACCATTTACCACTGACAGGAGTGCTTACAATGATCAGCTTGCATTTATTCATGTATAACCCTTATCCAAATAAACTGTTGCTATAACTGCAGTGGGAGCTAGAGTTTGGCTTCAAATTGTTGATGTATCTAAATCAGCTAGTCCATCCAACACTCACCACCCCAGACTGACAATGCTGGCATCGGCTGTGACCCCATGCATCTTCATCCAGAGTGGGGGCACTCTAATAGAGAGGTATATTACTGACCAAATCAGCAGAAAACAGAGGGAGAAAAACCTAGAAAAAGAAAACGAATGCAGCTGCACATCTAGTGATTGGTAAGCTGCGATACATTGCATTTTCCTTTTTGGTTTGAATTTAATACCGCTTTATGATTAAAGCTGAACTCCAGGAAACCTAAATATCCTCCCTTGCTGTGGGGCTGGTAAAGCACTTTTACATACCTGATCCTCTCCTCCTGGCGGCTTTCTTTGCTGCTAGACAAGCCTCTGCATCCTCTTCTCTGCTATGCTCCAGGCTTCCAAGCTCCATTAACAATATCAAGACCAATGTAGGAGGTTGAGGAACAATCCATTGCTGGGGTTTCCTGGAGTTGAGCTTTAAATGCATGCACATTGTTGGCTATCATTTATTTTAAAAAAAAAAAAAAGTCTGCTACCTTTTTATTTTTCACTTAAAAGTAGAGTTTGCCATTAAGAGAACCTGTTGCTTTGTCGTGCATGGTTTAAGTTAAACTGCCATCTACACTGCAGGACACTTGTTGATCTCTTAATCAAGACTTGGGGGCAGCACAGTGGCTAAACGGTTAGCACTTCTGCCTGGCAGTACTAGGGTCGTCAGTTCGAATTCCAACCACGGCACCACCTGCCCGGAGTTTGCAAGTTCTCCCTGTGCCTGCTTGGGTTTCCTCCAGATACTCTGGTTTCCTCCCACACTCCAAAGACATGCTGCTAGGTGAATTGGATTCTGTCTAAATTGGCCCTAGTATGTGTATGTAGGAATGTGAGTTAGGGACCTTAGATTGTATGCCCCTTGAGGGTTAGCAACTGATGTGAATATACAATATATATATGTGTAAAGTGTTGCGTAAATGGACAGCACTATATAAGTACCTGAAATAAATAAATAAGAATTGAACAGAATGCCAGGGTCCCAAATATACAAGTTCTGCATATTAGGTGTCTTGACTAATCCCCAAGCAGGAGGCTTTGCATGGGGTCAGGACAGCCTTTACGTAAGAGAGGGGCCTGATCAGAAAGTGGTCAGTGTCAGATGGAAGATGGAGTGAAAAGGCTGGAGTGTGGATCCTGGAAGGGGGCCTACGTTCAGGTAGGAGCTGGAGAGGGGGATCTCTCAGCCTCACTGTTCCCTGAGAGAGGACTGCCAGTGGAGCAGGGAAGGAGCCAGCCCAATGTAAGGCCTGAAGGCAGCCAATTTCTGGGTCACCTTGCCCAGAGATTCCCTCAGGCATCTGGGTGAAAATGAGGATTCATCTGGGGTCTGTGGTACACCAGAAGGGCTGGAGAGCTTTTCAAAGAGAGACTTTCATTCTTTTTGTCCACATCTATACATAGTTGCTAAGGAGTTTGTCCTCGCGTTTCTACAGTTCCTTGGGCATCCCATGCACCCCTAAATCCCATCTAGGTTCAGAACCCCTTAATAAAATACAAAAACAAGCTCAAGGACTGTTTACTGTATCCAGTGTACAAGTGTGGAAGAAAATGCGTGTTGTCTGTGCAGGACTATAGGGGGACCCGAAAAAACCATTGGGCCATCTCATTGAAGACTGAAGCTGGGAAACACTTTCCCTTTCACTGACCACTAACACTGGGCAGGCTTGCTTTAAGTCTATTACCCTACTGATTTCAGTAAGGTATATGGGAAACTGTCTTCGGTCACACTTGAGTGATTTGTTGTGTGTTTTCCATAGTGCAACAACACTTAACATGAAGATTCCGAGCATATTTAATGTTGCCCATTCACATCTGAGCATCATGCTGCCACTTGTTGCACAAAAAACCCAGTGATGCCCATTACAAGAACCATGGAAACTGGCAGAGAAGTGATTGTTAACCCTCACCTTGTTAAACAACCCAATAAGTTTAAAATAGAAATGAAATGCAAAACATTTGTGTATACATGTAAAAACCATTGTAAATATGTTTTTTCACCTTTTTTTTTATAAGTGATCACATTCCTTCTGTTCTCAGCTGCATAAGAGCTAGGGGAGGGGAAACTGCAGCATACTGATCTTCTCAGTGAAAGGCTGTACATAGAGGAGTGTGTCAGGACAAGTCTGATCATTGGAGAAGAATTTCCAGCGTAGCTAGAGAATTGACCACAGTGTATTCTGCTAAGTGTGGTCGGTTTTTAATGGGAAAGCAGAGGGGCTGGCAGGAACACCAGGGATTTCACACACAAGAAGCAATACAAGGAGAACAGGATACTTTTTCACACAAGTACATGGTACAGCATGCACATATCAGGAGTATGAAATGGGTTTACATATTCTTTAATAATCCAAAACAAAAACTTCTGAAGATCGAAAAAGCACAAAAAAGCATCAAAATGTGCATTTCCACGAGAAAAAATGCCCCAAAACATCTATAATAAAAATATTTAAAAGCACCAGAAAACGCTGACACACAAATGTTAATAGGGGTTAAAACAGACCATTACGTACAGGGCAGAATGATCCACCACCTTTAACCTGGCTTCTCTGAGCACTGCACATAGGCTGTATGATCTATGACTATGTTTCTAAAAAGAGAAGTATAGCACAGCTTGATTCTGCAGATAATTATGATCATCTAAAGAGATGCATGTTCTGAGCACAGGATCTCTGGTCATAAATTATGTAGAATTGTGTAAAGATGAGGTTCACGCAGAGGTCTCCCAAAGCACACATTTCTTGTGCACCTCTGCCACCTGCTGGGCATTTGACTAATAGCACACATTGTTGAACTGATAACACAACCCTATGGAACACCAAAATGTTGGCAGATAATTTATTTATTTATTATTTATTTCAGGTACTTATATAGCGCCATCAATTTACACAGCGCTTTACATATATATTATACATTCACATCAGTCCCTAACCCTCAAGGGGTGTACAATCTAAGGCCCCTAGCTTACATTCATACATACACATACTAGGGACAATTTAGACAGGATTCAATTCACCTACCAGCATGTCTTTGGAGTGTGGGAGGAAACCGGAGTACCCGGAGGAAACCCACACGTAATGCTCTTGTGGAAAAGCACACAATTAGTACATTTGTGCTTTATGAGGGGATGTATATGGCTAAAGAAACTAAAACATTAAAGTGCATCTAAAGCCTATTTTTTAAATGTGTTTTGGACGGATTAGTGTTGTCTTGGCTTCAGAGATTTACTATTTCTATTTCTCCAACACCCATGTTAGCGTGACCTGCTAATATAGATGTTGTTTTGTTTTCTTCCAAAAGCATGTTCATGGACCATGGTAGACTTAGGTATCAAAGGGACTTGTGCTCAAGCACTTTTTGGGATTTCCATTGAACTACTGCACCCATATAGATAGATATAGATAGATAGATAGAGATAAGATAGATAGAGATAGATGAATAAGAAATAGTAAATGTATGTCATTAACAAGGCCTTCAGTCACATATGATTATTTTGTATTTAAACTCACTAAAGTGGTACAGACTTCCATCCGATCATAATTTTCATCCTGGTATTCTTTTTTGTTCTGTCCCATTTTCTAAATCACTGAAGTTGCCTGTTTTCACATATTTGGAATGGCCCTGCCTCTGATTCACTAAAGCTGGTCATAGACTGATGAAAATTCTGCCAGTTCAATTTTGATCAGTGTGTGACCGTCCCTGCGCCATAGAAGTCAGTGATTTGATAATCTTCTGTCGGGAAGGGACAGGCTGGAAAATGCTTGTGGATCAGTGGCTGCAGCCATGATCAATCTATTGTGACAGCTGTAATTCCTGCTGTTAGAATACAATATCCCAGCAGAGGGGATTCCTCCATCCTCCTTACTTGTGGGGATGGAGGAATCTGTTAGTTTTTTTGCCATTCAGCCTGCTTGCTAAACAAGAGAATAAAATACCCGACTACGGCCAGCTTAAAGAGGAGTTCCAGGCTCCCCCCCAAAAAATTAAAAGTCAGCAGCTACAAATAGTGTAGCTGCTGACTTTTAATACAAGGACACTTACCTGTCCATTGTAACCTGAGCTAATTCTTCACTAGCTTCCGGGGTTCTGGCGCCGGAATTGCACGTAAAGGAAACGGGAAGTAAACTCTTGCGGCTTCACAGCCGGTTTACTACTGTGCATACATGAGTCACGTTGCACCTTGAGATTGGTAATGTAGTCTTATGGGACCTATGAAGTGTCTCAGGAAACAGTGGGGGGAAGAACCTCTGCTATGCTGAACTGAGCCAGAAGTGGGAGTGGGTACCTGTCATCCTAGGCAGGAGTGAACTGACAACTCATGAGGGCTGTGGGCAATTGGAGATCATGGGGCCCCCTGTGTCCCCACCCCCACTCAAGCCACACCCAGACAAAACTACACCTACATATTGCCCACATTACATGCGTTTGGCACAGAATTTCTGGAGCTGCTCCAACATGAACCTAAGGCCCCATTCACCTCAGTGTGTCACACTTATGCACATTTTTTGTGGACATTTGTAGTACAACAGCATGGGCCAGCCCATTCACTTGAATTGACTGTCTGTCCTTTGGGCAATAAATGCACCAAAGAAGCTCCTGTGAGATTCTGTGCATGTTCCCAGAAAATGTAGGTGTGAATGGGGCCTGAAGGATGAGCAGTGATTTTCCATGATTACATTGTGAGCTCAGAAGGTTTTTTTCTTCCTGTGTATACATACAATATATCAGGGGTTTTGAATTAAAACTCAAGGAAGTCCAGTCACTAAAATTTTCTTACAGCCGAGGTATGAATCTCATGTTTGTGGTATGACTCAGAAAGAATGTAGTAATTTTGTCTATTAAAAAATGAGAAATGTACAGTTTCCATAGCATTTCAACAGTAATTATCCCCCATCAGAGTGCTCATCAGTGTGTTCCCATCAGAGTAACCCTTTACATCAGGTGTCTCCATCAGAGTCCCCCCATTGTGCAGGTGTCTCCATCAGAGTGCCACCATTGAGCAGCTGTCCCCATCAGAGTGCCCCCATAGAGTAAGTGTCCCCATCAGAGTGCCCCCATAGAGTAAGTGTCCCCATCACAGTGCCCCCATAGAGCAGGTGTCCCCATCACAGTGCCCCCATAGATCAGGTGTCCCCATCACAGTGCCCCCATAGAGTAAGTGCCACCATCAGATTGCCCCCACTGAGTAGGTGTCCCCATCAGAGTGCCCCCATAGAGCAGGTGTCTCCATCAGTGTCCCCATAGAGCAGGTGTCCCCATCAGAGTGTCCCAATAGATCAGGTGTCCCCATCAGAGAGAAGGTGTCCCCATCAGAGAGCAGGTGTCCCCATGAGAGTGTCATCATTAGGCAGTTGTCCTCATCAGAGAGCAGGTGTCCCCATCAGAGTGCCCCCACAGCACAGATATCTCCTTCAGACTGCCCCCATAGAGCAGGTGTCCCCATCAGAGTACCCCCCTATAGAGTGCCCCCATAGAGGTGTCCCCATCAGAGTGCCCCCCCCCAGTAGTGTCCCCCATCAGAGTGTAGAGTAGGTGTCCCCATCAGAGTACCCCTATAGAGTAGGTAGGTGTCCCCATCAGAGTGCCCCCACAGAGCAGGTGAAGGTGTCCTGCAAGACTCCGAAACGTTGCCTTGCTGTAACTATGTGATCGTCCATTAAAACTTTTGGACTCATATTGGTGATCCTCAGTGTGCTGGTGACATTCTCTCTTGCTAATCCTGTTCGGTTCCAGCCAACGGTCGCTGCAGCACCCACTTAAACACACAGCCATTTTTAATGCAGGAACATGTGCATTTGGATTGTACACTTCCCATAGAGAAGGTGTCCCCAGCAGAGTACCCCCATAGTGCAGGTGTCCCCGTCAGAGAACTCCTATAGAGCAGGTGCCCCAATCAGTGTTATGAACCATCAGAGTGCACCTGCACATTGGTAGAAAAGTGTAGCGGATGGAAAAGTCCTTGTAGGCAGGCAGGCATGTGGTGAGCTGGGTGGGGAAACTTGCTGAAGAGACCGAGGTGCACAAGTGATGTCTTTTGTTGCTAGGACACTGGCGGTCCTAGCAAGCCATGAAGGCAGTACAGAGACTCCTGGCTCCCTGTGAGTGCCCAGGTGCCAAATAGTCAGTCTGCCCCTGGAAGAAACTGAGCGTAAAATAGGGCATAGTATGGGCACAAAATATCGCCAACTGGGCAAAAAGCGGGCGCTATATTGGCGCCAACTGGGTGTAAAGTGGGCTCTAAGTAGGCTCAAAGCAGGCATAAAATGGCCGTTGGATGGACACTAATTGGGCTTAAGGTGAACACAAAATAGGCACCAACCGGGCGTAAGGGGGCGCTAAGTAAGTGAAGGAGGGCAACAGGAGCACCAGTGCAGAGAATGACATTCCGTGTGGAGTAGATCGGCACATATCAGGGATTGTAACTCTTCCTACTCCCCGCCTTTCACCTCTAGCAGTGCAGTAACTGTAGATACAAGAGCAGCCATCTTATTGGTCCTGATTACCTGTCTAGTAGGCGGGACGCCATGCAGGGCACACCCATCCAGATCTTCGCTATGTGCTGCACAGCATGGCTGTACCAGTGACAGTCCACAGGCAGGAGAGGGGGTGGAGTCCTGTGATGTATACAGAGTGGGTGGTGTCCCTGAGATTGGTGTTTAGAGGACACAGTGCAGAGGGTGGTGTGTGTAGGTGTGCTGTACATCCAGACTAAGCTTCTGATTGCTACTATCTGCGAGGAAAACAAGGAGAAGGCTACACTATAGACAGATGATAATTAGAACTGCTGGCCTCAGAGCATGAGTTCCAGTTGTTTGTGCATTGGAGGTATAGTAGGTAAAACCAGAGTGCTCTGCTTATGGGGCCTCCTACTCTCCCCGGGCCCTCGTGCAATGCCTGAGATCCCGAATGGTTGGTCCGGCGCTGCTCCTGAGACATATCCCAGGAGACTGCAGGACCATTTACAAAGCACATATCTTGCACATGAGCAGTGGTGACCTGGCTGTGGTCCTCAGGAACCCCCAGCCAGCTCCCATATCCAAGAGGGAGGCGCCAGCGACCCACAGTGGTAAGAAGAACTGGCTGCAGTAACACAGAGTTGGACCCCAGGCACTGTTAAGTACCTGTTTTCTAAAAGTCAGATACAGTATTGGTAGCTACTGACTTTAAAAAAAATCAGACTAAAAGTCTATATATTTTTCTTTTTGGTAGAAATAAAAAAAATGTGTTCAACACCTGCAAATTGAGGAATACACTGCTAAATACACTCCACTCCTCAAATACCAATTAAATAACCCTGTCTGAAAAAAAAAAAAATCTTTATTGTTTGTGGTTGCACACAAGGGGCAAAAGGGCATTATTGGTTCCCCCAAGAGAAGTGCGTGCTAGAGATGTCCAACAAAGAGTTCCGATTTCTACAAAAAAACACACAATCATGCATTTATCCAACGCGAATGTTCATATTTGTACAATGATATTTACTAGAATTTGTAATCTTGAGTAGCCAGTCTTGTGATCCAGGCACACTTGTCAGATAAGGCAGCATGGTTCCTGATCTCGATTGGAGTAGTAACACAGCTTGATCCGAATCGCAACTTCTTCTGCTGATTGGACAATGAGGCTTCAGCAGCACACCCATCAGGTAGTCTGTGCACTCTGTGGCAGACTCTGCTTGGCTTATAGTCAGGGCTTTTTTTCTCTGAGAATAGGTGCAGGAACTCCCCTGTTCTGATTCATCCCTTGCCTCCACTCCCTACCCACCTCCAAGCACCGTCCTTTGTCTCCACCCCCTACCCATCTCCCAGTACCGCCGCACCTCCTAGAGAATACAGAGCCATGTATCAATTTGTGGTGCTAAGTAAGTTGTTTGGAATATGTTAATGATACCAAGAAAAGCAGTAAAATAAATCCCCTGCAACAGAGCAATAGACCTCCCCCAGCAACAATGGACCCCCGCAACAAAATACAACCCCAGCAACAATAGACCCATCCTAGCAAGAACAGATTTCCCAGCAGCCAGCATCAATAGACTCTCCAGCAGCCTGCAACAACAGACCCCTCCCTTAACAGTAGATCCCTTCCAGCAACAATAGATCCCCCAGCAACAATAGACTTCCATGTAAAATAGATTCCTTCAGTGACATATATCCCCTAGCAGCAAACATCAATAGAGCGCCCAGCACCCCTTGCTATAACATACATTCAGTGCTGGAAGTGCCAAAACTGCATTCCCCCATGTTTCCCCTGAAAAAGAGCCCTGCTTACTATAGTGCTTGTCTTCACCCTCTCATATTACTGCTGTACTGGGGATTGCAGGAGGCTGATATCAAGACAAATGCAGGTTTGTATAAAAAAAGAAAAAACATATGTATAGTGTATATTGTCTTTTAATGACACATATCTGCATTTACTGTCATTTTTATACAAGCATTCATGTTTTGTAGTTAGCTCTAGGTATAAATGATATCACATATAAAAGCAACACACTCCACTTAAAAATCTAAAGAGATCTGATCAGGAAACTCCCGCATTGGAACTTTGGCCAGTTTTAACCAAAGGACTCTACAGGGTGGGTTTACTGTAGGTTTATGATATTGCCTGTAGGTTTTCAGAGGGAGGAAAATATGGTCACTAGTTCCATTGTCAGTTCTATCTATATTGGAAATCATTGATAGGTCAAAGTCAGGGGTGGAATGACAACTCATGGGGCCCCCGGGCAATAGGGGATCATGGGGCCCCTGTGTCCTTGCCCACACTCAAAAAAGCCTATGAAAAAGGTACCAGGGGCATCTCATGGGGCCCTCTACTGACCCCAGGCCCTCGGGCAGTGTCCAAGTTTCCAAATGGTCAGTCCACCCCTGGTCAAAGTAGCAGCAGACACCCTACAGCTAATCAGTTACAGGAAAACAAACAGTTGGTGAGGTTTGATTATTTTTGGGGTCCTAGCTATTGTTTCCCCATGAGATATGGCAAGTGGTGGGGAAAGGCAGCTATTCTCCAACCTTCTTCCTACCATTCCATTACAATATAATGATTGATGTAATCAAGTCAAGACCACTCAAAGTAATTGAATGAATGAACAACGTAATACATTAAGGAACTGTGGTCTCATTAGGAATCAGTAGAACATTATTCTGTAAAATACACAACACACATCTACTCCAGGAAAAAAGGGTCTAAATTCCTATCTTCCTCCTCCCAGCGTGGGTTTATTATTTGACTCCTCCTTCCAAAAGGATCCCATTGGGATGGAAACCTCTCTAATGCACAAGACAGAAGAAAACAGTGTATTATTATATAAGTATAAAAACTACAGACTACTGTCATAGCAGCAAAAGATAAATACAGCAATATAAGGACACAAGCTTGCTCACAAGAGGGACAGTCCATAAATTCTATCTAACCCAACCCTTGTGGAATCTCCCAACATTCCTCCTATTTCTTCAGCATTTGTAATGCATTTTTATTGTATCCCTTAATCCTCAAAGGCATTTGCCTCAAGACATCTACATATAAGCTGATCATCAAAGAACAGGCTGGTTTAGACCTAATCAAAAGTTAATTGCATATCTGTCAGGAAAGAAAACACTTCCCTCCAATTGATGTTTTGTTTGAAAAGCTTTGATTGGTAATGGCCATTTGATAATATTCTGACCTGGACTGGCAATCTGGTAACTATATTATTTTCCAGATGGGCTGGTCTGTCTGTCGGTTTTAGTAGACTTCTATGGGCTGCGTTAATAAAAGTATCACTGTAGAACAGCCAATGAATATTGATATTAAGTGCTTGGGCACCATAAAAAAAGTATTTAATCGCCTTGAGAAAGTTTAGTAACATACAAAACGGCTGGCCTGTGTGTCATATGCTAATGTGTAAGCAGCTCTGGTCAAATAAAACATTTGTATTTAATTATTGAAAAGAAGATCTTTTTTTGCAATCTGTGTCCAGGGCCAATCACCACAGATAATCCCTCCTTGAACAAGCACATACAAATGGTCATGATTAACTGCAGGAGCTGTCAGCCTCCCATTGCTGACCTGCTGGATATGCCCCATGTAATTGCATTGGCAAATAATAATGAGGTGGTGTTAACTCCTAATGTGAGCCAGCCATAGATGGTTTGAATCTCAGCCGGCACCAGCCAAGATTTGAACCATCTATGGGCAAGACTGATTGTGTACCGAAGACAATTGTATGACCTGGATAAAACCAGTATTTTAGATTTTTACATGTAATTATTGCTAGTGGCTCTACTTGCTAGCAATAATCCTTGTGTTCTTTTTTTAGGATCTGAAAGGGAAAATGCTTCAGAACTTCTGAGAAAAAGAACTGATGACTGATGATGTCTGGCAGGACCTGGGGGTGATCAGTAGGGGGTAAATCACTAACAATTTATCACCTGAAATGCTCCTTATCCTTCCTTGAGGTGAGCTGGGAATTGTCAAGAATGTCTTCTGTCATAAAAGAAAAAGAACAATTTAATATACTAAATTACGTAGTTCACAAATGTTGCAGGCGTAAGAGAAATGCAATATAACATGCTTTTTTCATTAAATTTTATAGGGCGATTTATTTATATACTGTCTATATGGGCCACGTAGCATTCAGACCAGCAAATTGATTAATTAGGCAAGGCTAACTATATTCAAAGGTCACCCATAGATACAGAATGGAAGGGTAAAATCTCCACTCAGGTGTTTTTCCAGCAGGGAACACAGACAGCAATAATATCATTCTACCACTGAATCCAAAAATAAATAAATAAAAAATATTTGGGCTTACATAAATTTTAACACTACCCCTAAAGTCTGTAAAAGTAGATCCTCTACATGTACTGTTTCTCTACAAGGATCACCTGCTTGCTGCACCAAATAAATGTATTCATATTTATTTATGAAACCCAATAAATATTTATTTATTACAGGTACTGATATTGTGCCATCAATGTATGCAGCGCTTTACATAGTATGTATATATATATATATACAGTTGCAAGAAAAAGTATGTGAACCCCTTGGGATTACGTGAAGTTTTGCATGAATTGGGCATAAAATGTCCTCTGAACGTCATCTAAGTCACAACAATAGAAGAACACAGTCTGCTGAACATAATACTACACAAACATTAGATGTTGCCATGGTTTAAATTGCACATAACATGTAAACATTCACAGTGCAGGGAGGAAAAAGTATGTGAGGCCCTAGCTTAATGACTTCTCCCAGAGCTAATTGGAGCCAGGAGTGAGCCAACCTTGACTCCAATCAGTGTGATGATATTGGAGGTGTTGCTGACAGCTGTCCTGCCCTTTAAAAAAAACACACACCTGTTTAGGGTTTACTGGTTTCAAGAAGCACTGTCTGATGTGAACCATGCCTCGCAGAACAGAGCTCTCAGAAGACCTATGATCAAGAATTGTTGACTTGCATGAAGCTGGAAAGGGTTACAAAAGTATCTCCAAAAGCCTTGATGTTCATGTGTCCACGGTAAGAAAGACTGTCTACAAATGGAGAAAGTTTAGTACTGCTGCTACTCTCCCTAGGCATGGTTGTCCTGTAAAAATGACTGCAAGAGCACAGCTCAGAACGCTGCATGAGGTAAAGAAGAATCCCAGAGTGTCAGCTAAAGACCTACAGAAATCTCTGGCACATGCTAACATTTTTGTTGACATATCTACAATAAGGAAAACATTAAACAAGAATGGAGTACATGGGAGGACACCACGGAGGAAGCCATTGCTGTCCAAAAAGAATATTGCAGCACGTTTGAAGTTTGCAAAAGAGCACCTGGATGTTCCACAGCACTACTGGCAAAATATACTGTGGACAGATGAAACCAAGATTGAGTTGTTTGGGAAGAACACACAACACTATGTGTGGAGAAAAAAAGGCACAGCACACCAACATCAAAACCTCATCCCCACTGTAAAACATGGCGGAGGGAGCATCATGGTTTGGGGCTGCTTTGCT